CTGATAGTAGGCTTAGGCCCACCAGGATGAGGAACCCACCTTGCTGGACCCAAGACTTTGTCATGGGAAAGTGAATGTTACTGAGTAATGTGAAATATGTTAAACGTGTGTTAGGTGACATACATCAGAATGATGAAGTCAGGTTCACATAAGAAATCCTTGTTCAAAGGGGGAGATGTTGTGTCCACACATACTATTGCATTTGTTCTGTAGATGCATTTACCAGAAGCGCTAGAGGGCGCTAGTGAGTATGTTGTTCTGGTTGTGGTTTTTGAAGAAGAAAAAGAAAAAATAAAGAAAGGAGTTATCTCCGGTAATCCTCTGTTCCTACCTGAGTGTGTGTAATGCCTGCTGAACTAACACCACACAACACATCTCACCTGCTTGTTTTTATTAAGGTATGTACACGTATGTACATGTACACTATTTCTATTAATAGAGATTTCACTACTGAGGTTAAACATGATATATAAGTCACTTAGATCACTTCTAAATGTTAATGTTTGGTTTATTTCAGTGTTTTATTTGTTCCTGAGTAAATCGGTTTGGCTGTGATTAGAGTTAAGCTTCATAACATATTACTCACAGTTAAATTAAGAGGGGACGGCAGTAAAAACTCCGGACCTGTGACATCATCAAGTACGCTGGTGTTCCAATTGTACAAATCGCGAGTCCGTGCTCGCGTTCTCGGCGAGTCAGTACTCCCGTGCGTTCTCGGCGAGTACGTACTCGCGTACTTGAGAATTAGCATCGCTCTGCTAACATGCTAACAGCACACTTGAGCTACTCACCCCCTCCCTCCTGGCTCACAGCTTCTTCTTCTTCTTGGTTGGCAACCAATGTTAAGGCGCATTACCGCCCCCTGGCTCACAGCTCAGTGGACATTTAGATGAGAAAACATATATTTGACGCATTTAAGGAACATTCTAATAAAATAAAAATAAACAAAATAAATGTTTATTAAGCAATTTTGATAGGAAATTGCTTAATTTTAGAAATGTTTTTTCTCTTTTTTGCTCTATAAAATAGTTTTTTTTCTTTTAGAATCACTCATCTTAGCAGTAGGATTTACATGAAAAGAGAAACAAATTAAGTTTGAGTGAAAATGTACATTTTTTTTGCACTCTCTGGTCAACTGACTCAGTGAATCAAATGACTCAAAAAAACGATTCACTTTGGTGAGTGACTCATTAAAAAACCGATTCAGTAAAAAGAATCAAATTTACCATCACTAGTGTGCCACAACGTGTCGCGAGAAACCGTATAGCAGAGTCTGCGAACCGAGCACGCTGCTGCTTCCCTGCGCTCCTCACCGACAGACACACGCGTCTCTTCGGTTAGAAAGAAACCCTCTGCTAGTGTCTGTGTGAGTACAAACTATCTATACATGTACA